GTACCTATAGCCTGATGTGCTGTCGTCTGTACTAATTGTAATTACTTAAGGTTAAACTAATACAATATGTATAGCGAGCTACCTACCATCTCGCCAACATGCGGCAGACAGTCACGAATCGAGTTTGAGTTCCAGCGTAAGTTAGTTTCCGAGTGCGGCAACTGCGACCTTAGTTCCAGAACTTGCTCATCACGGAGGAATGCCGAAAGATAATCGGGTCACTTTGATATTTCGTCAAGAGAAATGTAATCAGCTAAAGGAGACCTACAGTAGGCGCGCGAGTTCATATCCATCCTGAGGAATGAGTAACTACGTACTTAACGCCTTTACTTGCTACTTTTGCCATTAGGTAAGGTAGATAGTTAGGGCAGATGATCAGCCCAATTTATACCAAGTCCAGTGTTGAATCAACCCTCTTATTAATATAAGGAGTTTGTTGTAATTGCTTTCAAATGGATAGAGATTGTGAAAGGGATAGCCATTAATACCTTCGTATACCTATCCAGGCCCCTCTTTCCCACTGGGCACTTAGGGCACGTGCCCAGGGCCCCGCGACCGAAGGGGCCCCCGTCTGCTCGAAAGAACTTTCTCCAGATGATAAGGGCCACTCTTGATCCAGGGCCCCTAAGTAGTAGGTTAAAGACGGCCCTGTACCTATCTCATTTTTTTCAGTGGATGTTGTTTCAAGAAGAACAAAGTCAGATTGCCTATGATATATGCCCCTAAAAACTTTAACTATGCCCCATAAAAGTAGCAGGAAGGCGCTGGATGCTGGCCGTTACCAACCGGGCGATGTGGAAAGAGGAGGCCTATGTTCAGCAGTGGAGTGGTAGTCCTGTGGCTGAAATAATGTTGATGGTTATATGTAATTATAGGATGAATGTCCTTACCTGGATTATTTATCATCATTTGGGGGAAAATTTTATCACCATAATCATAGAGATCGAGATACTGTAGGTTTATTTTAAAATACCTAATGGACCCGGTTTACCCGGTCCGTAGCAAATTCAGTCGCTTTCAGGTCATTTGGGCTATTGTCAGCTTGTGTGGATACCTTAGGTACTTGATATTTTGTTATACCTACTTGATATTCTGAGAGGACCAACTGTCTGACTTCAGGGACGTGTATTAACTGTATTGTATTAAGACACACATAATATTTTAAAATATTTTTCCTTACTAATATTCTAGAGATTATTTTTTAGCTTAATTTCTAGTTTTGAGCGGTACTTAACTACCTAATTTGATTGATTTTTACAAGACGTATAAAATAAACGCATTCAATTTCAACCAAAACACTTAACATTAAATAGGCTACTTAATTATTCCATAAATTAAATAATTATGTGAAAAGTCTAAAAGGACTGATCTCTGAATCATAAAGGTCAGAAATCCCTCAGGAACATCACACAAAATTATAATGCGCAAATAACCTTTGAAAGGGAGTCAAACATTATCAGTCGGCGGCTTTATTTAACTACCTCCGGCCTTCTAAAATCCTATTTAATTTACATACAAAACGTACGGTCCCTAAACTTTTAACAACGCAACATCCACCTTGCCCAACTTTGCACTTGTCTCTTTATTAAAAGTTAAATATAACTTTACAGACAAGAAAAATGTATGTGCGATAGACGCCGCAGCAGGTTTTTTAAACAGATTTCATGTTCGATCCTTGGTGGCTAAGAAAAAAATATAAAACATTTTTTCCATCACGTGCATTGACACTCACTGTGTCTCCACTACTTACTTAGCTCTATCAAGCTGACTCATTTTACTTACACGAAGTTCCATTTCCGAAATTGAATGAATCGAAAACTTGCCAGTCCAAACTGTAATCACTGAATCACTCAGCTATTTAGCTGGTATCTACTGAACCAAATTAGTCTGTAAATAATTTCAAAGCGAAATCACGAAGCGAACATGTCACGATCCACAAAGTCAGGTCCTGCCAGAAGCCATTCCCGTTGTATTAATGTAGGTACCTACTTGTAACCGCTGAAGTTTGTCCGATTGTGATACTCGCACCATTTATCAACTTTATTATTAGACAAGTTTCACAAATGGAAGCGACTGTCTTTTGTTTTATTTTATTGGCTGGCACGGATACCAGCTTTATCCAGACGAATTCACTTTGATGATAATTTGCCGTATAATTTCGGAAAGGCGTTAGTACCCCTGGCTGGACGTAAAAAAAATAAATTATTAGCTAGGTGCTTAGTGCTACAGAACACAATCATAAAATAACATCGTCTCAAATAAACGCAGAGTTTTTTAGGTTTTAACTTAAATATGTTTACTTACTCGTTCAATTAAAACAATCCTTTCAACCTACCTTTACGTTGACACAGAGCCTATCTGTATGGGCGCTAATTCGATCACTGCAGAGCCGTTAACGAACCGTAGCGGCTGAAATAGCAGGCTCGGAGCCTAGGATAAACTACTAATATGAAATACAGGCTGTAGTAGATACCAGTAAAACAAGGTGTACTTACCTTGGTATCTGGATACAAGACAAACTAAAGTTACAAAGTAGATGGACCCAAAAAGGCACTTTGTTATGTAAGCAGTATGATACCATAGTAGTGTAATGTATTTTGCCCTAGACTAATAAAATCTACGATTTTATCGTCCCATAAAATTCTTCTCTTACTTACTTAGAATAATGCCCGTTTTCACCATCAATCCCCAATTTTTAAGTGACCCCTATGGTAACACATAACAGGAGTTTTGTTTTCTTAGGGGTCACTTAAAAATTAGGGATTGATGGTAAAAACGGGCCACCTATTTAAATACACTCAGCGGCACGGAATTTGGCCCAAGCCTAAACACCCAGATATGAGGCCAAATAGGTGTTGTATACCTAAGTTTCATGTGATATGTTAACAAAACATTTGTTTTTGTTAATTTAAGAGACTAGATTAATAAAAAAATGCGTCTGTTTAACTTTTTTGACTCTAGAAACGCATTTTGTTGTTGGAGCGTAAAGAGTACGGGGAAGTTTAAATTCGATATTAAATGTTGTAAGGGTTATTCTCGTTTCCATAATTTGAGAATAATGCCCATTACTCCAGCTCAAGTTGCTCAAATAGTGTTGCTTAGAAGTCAAGGGCGTATGCAGCGGGAGATGGCTGAAACTTTCAATTTATGGCGTACAAACTTAAGATACACGTTAAAAAGGCATGACTGACCGCCTTTTACACAAGAAGATCAAGAAGTCAGGCATTAAGGTGTAAATCAGCGCGCGATGACCCGATTATCGTGCTTGCAATATCAAGAAATCGGGTTCTCACTACGTTTGAGATACGCCAGCGTTCACAAACAGCAAGCCCAGTGAATATCAGTGAGCACACAATAAGAAGAAAGATGGAGGATCATAACCTGCATACTCGAAGACCAGCTCGAGGACCAGAACTTCTCCGATACCTTGGCGAAGTGCGACTTACGTTTTCTAGAGAACATGCAAATTGGACGAAAGGCTAATGGAGTAAAGTTCTATGGATCGATGATTGCAGAGTCACCTTAAGAGCTCCAGACGGCCGTGGAAGTGTATAGAGAAGGTGCGGAGAAGAGTTACTACGCAAACAGACAGTTTTCATAAAGAGTTTACTCCATTAGTCTAACGTCCAATTTGCATGTTCTCTAGAAAACGTAAGTCGCACTTCGCGAAGGTATCGGAGAAGTTCTGGTCCTCGAGCTGGTCTTCGAGTATGCAGGTTATGATCCTCCATCCTTCTTCTTATTATGTGCTGACTGATATTCACTGGGCTTGCTGTTTGTGAACGCTGGCGTATCTCAAACGTAGTGAGAACCCGATTTCTTGATATTGCAAGCACGATAATCGGGTCATCGCGTACTGATTTACACCTTAATTCCTGACTTCTTGATCTTCTTGTGTAAAAGGCGGTTTGGTCATGCCTTTTTAACGTGTATCTTAAGTTTGTGCGCCATAAATTGAAAGTTTCAGCCATCTCCCGCTGCATACGCCCTTGACTTCTAAGCAACACTATTTGAGCAACTTGAGCTGGAGTAATGGGCATTATTCTCAAATTATGGGAACGAGAATAACCCTAAGATTAATTTAAAAACAAAAAACCAAACGCCAAACCCTTACAACATTTAATATCGAATTTAAACTTACCCGTACTCTTTACGCTCCAACAACGAAATGCGTTTCTAGAGTCAAAAAAGTTAAACAGACGCATTTTTTTAGAAATCTAGCCTCTTAAATTAACAAAAACAAATGTTCTGTTAACATGTCACACGAAACTTAGGTATACAACACCAATTTGGCCTCAAATCTGGTTGTTTAGGCTTGGGCCAAATTCCGTGCCGCTGAGTGTACATACCTACTTGTAACGAGTACATAAACCATCATTTTAATAATAATATGCATTAAACGATACGTAATTAAATGCTGGACCCTAATGCTATTATTCAACGTTCATCCAGCTGTCTCCGCTAATCCCCTTAACATCCTCGTGTGACGTATCCTCCAAGTTGGAAACTAAGCTAACATGCACAATGCAAAATAAATAAATCAAGCTCGTTTTGACTGCGCCATGTAATCCCAACTTCAGACTTTGAGCAACGCATACTTCATGTAACTTTGCTAGCTTTGTTTGTCCAGGCGTGTAGCTCTATAGAAGAGTTTCAAAGTCCGATCTATTCATCAGAATGTCTATTCAAGTTGTGATTATTTCAGTTTAAATTTTTGGATGTTCGCTGGAGGGAGATTAGCTTTCATTAACTTTGTAATACAGTTAAAAATGGTGAATCAAGGTGTACTACCTACACTACCGAAGCCAGAAAAACAAAAGGTAGTAGAAACCTAGCCTAACCTTTGTTAAAATTGTTACAAAAAAAATGCCTTTTTGCTAAATTACTATTTTCATAACATTTTCATACGCAATACCGTTATCTCGATATAAAACCGGTAAATGCTGCCATAGACAACTAACCGGTAGCGACCGCCATATTGCTTCACGGCACCTCACTAAACTCCGTCATAGACAATGTGTTTTGACAAAGTTTACTTCGACCAAAATGACGAGCATCGTAATTCGTGGTTAAATTAATAAAAATATCGTGTTTTATTCATCATGACTGTGTGGCAGAAGTTGGAGAATGAAGAGTGCTACGCTGTCGGTGAGTTTTGAATTTATTCGTGCGATATCAATAGTGTTTCAAATCGTTATCTGCTACTATCTTGCTTCTGCTCGTTAGCAGTTTTGCCTCCCGCCGAGATCGCGTTAAATATAAACATTGTATCATATCTGGCCTGCAGCTGGTATCAGTGCTATCCTGTTAGAAATTGGCCCCAATTTTCTGTAATGGAGCTATAAAATAACCTGTAGGATGTGCCACTCCCATATTCAAGGCAAATCAATCTGATTGTTAAGTTCATAACACTAATTGAAGGTGATATGACGTCCCATAATGTTTTCGTAATGATTATCTAAACATTTATTTGCGGTAATTGTTTCTCAATAGTGACTAAGTGTTTCTCAAGATGTTGAGTCTAGAAAGAAAAAAGATCATCTTCTGTTAGGTAATTTTGATTCAGACGAATGCCCCAGTTACTGGAAGTTACCATTCTAATGCACATTAGTATGCTAAACGTTCATTAGATATGTAAATAATAACATGATAAAATACCTAAGTAAACAAAATACACAAGCCAAAATATCTTGTCCATAAAAACATTATTTACATTTTAACCAAATTATCTTACAAATTACAATATTTACTAATTGGTTTACATAATAGATACTTTTGTAGATTACATGTGAGTAATTAATCTGTAACATGATTGTTATTGACACTTGTTGCTTGTGCCGAGCAAAGCCTAGGGTAAATAAGTGTATTGGTAGTCCAAAAATCATTAAAGTATATCTTTAATTTATAAAAACTGTTGAAGCACCTGATGTCGTGCCCTGAGTGCCCAAGCAACTGCACTCAGGAGGATTTGATGAGTGCTGCTGACAACACCACTCTTGTGGCGGAGTTTTGGGCTGACACTGTGTAGGTTTGTTGTCGACACGAAAAGAAGAAGATAAAACTATTGTTATGATAAAATAATAGATGATCATGTCACAATTTCTATTATTTTATCACAAAATTTAACAAATTTAAACTTGAATTTGATAATACGGTCCTCACTTTGACTCTGTATGAAATTACACTCAAGAATAAGTCCAAGTCGTTCTATTCTGTACTTGTTAAATATCGCCATTAAAAATGCGTAATATACTTTTAACCTTTAATGAACACATCGGATGCCATACAACTCACCGGTGAGCATTGAACAGTAAAATTTATATTGTGTCTAGTGTCTCGGCAGTAAACAACTTAATTAAGTTTTAGACATTGCGGGCTACTGTTAACAAATAAGTTTGAGAACTGTTTTTCTAGAAATTGACAACAGCATATACGTATAAAACGAATCACTCATTTTATTTTATCCTAGTTTAATAGGCGATATAAACAATTAATAATAGGAACCTATTTCTCTTAGCACGGAACAGTGCACTTGTACCTAGTTTAGAACAAAATACAATCCAACAGGAAAACTATTGATGTTGTTTCCTCAATGTGGTCCAGATATGTACATTCTGCCCATCTCCCATCCTCCTATCTGTAATTAATAATGCTGGTTTATAAATATGTGGCTGGATAAAAATAATGGTGGTGAAGGTTTTTTAATTAATTAAAATACTATACAATTATAAACCAAACTCAACCAAATACGCTTAAAAAAGTCAGTTTCATAAATAATTTAAATCTCAAGAACACATATTAATTTCATTAGTGAAATTAATTCTTAGTACCAAATTAATTTAATTTCACATGTAAAGTGCAATTAAGTGTTCTGTGAATCATCATCATCATTTCAGCCACAGTACATCCCCTGCTGAACATAAGCATCCCCCAATGAATTCCATATTAACCGGTTGGTAGTGGCCAGAATCCAGCACCTTCCTGCTACATTTATCATTGTGAATGTTACCCGTTATTTATACAACTAGCGGTCGCCCGCGACTTCGTACGCGTGGATCCCGTTTTGTCCCTTTAGGGGTGGAGTTTCGTAAAATCCTTTCTTAGCGGATGCCTACGTCATAACATCTAAATTAGGGTTTCTGATTTCTCGACTTATTTTTTTTCTCGAGTTTCGAGAATTCTCGAGGCCAAAGTCTCGAGTTTTCTCGGGTCTCGAGTCTTTTAATGAAAACTGCTGAAATCGGTTGAAATTTAATAAAAACACGGGTTTTTTTAATCTAATATACCTACTTTTATGCACAACAATCAATATTAGAATTTAGTACCACTTATTTGGTAAGGAAAGAAACAAAAAATAAAATCTTCTTTCATAATTAATATTTACTAATAATCATAACAAAAGTCATAAAGTCTCGTGTACTTTAAGGATAAATAACAATAAAAATCTGGAGCTACAATTGAATCACTTGTTTTCTAAAGAACACAAGTCCAAATAGCAAAATTACGATAAATAGTTTTTTTTATGAACAAAAAAAAACTTTTTAATAAATTTTTAAATTTCTTACAGATAACGACTTGAATAAACTTTACGAGGAGGCACGAGTACCTAACCTAACGTCTGTTAGGTAAGGTAACTGTCTAGTTAACAAGTTTTTCAGTCTTGACATCAGTCAGAGTTAAAAATACATAATAATAATCATACTCGTTGGTGAACATTATTATTACTTAGTTTCGATTAAGATCATTACTTGCAAATCAAATCAGTTAAAAAAGGAAAGACTAGGCCAGTCTTAAAGCAACGTTGACCTATTAAATAATTAAAAACTTACTTTTGTCTAAGAAAATAGGCTTTCAAGAATATTAAAGCTTCAAAATCGAAACTCGAGAATTCTCGAGCTCCGGTAATTTTTTTCTCGTCTCGAATGAAGCCAAATTTCTCGAGTTTTCTCGAGTTCGAGAAAGCTCGAGCAGAAATCCTAATCTACCTGCATGCCAAATTTCAGCCCGATCCGTCCAGTGGTTTGAGCTGTGCGTTGATAGATCACTATGTCAGTCAGTCAGTCACCTTTGAGTTATATTATTTAGAAGCTTTATTATATTATTTAGATTACAATACAAATAAATCTCAATTGGTCAGATGTAAAGTGAAACAACACCTCACGTAAAGCTTTTGCATCACTCACCAACCCTTACTCATCATGCTCGTACTCGAAATCGAACCCTAGTTCTTCTTCTTATTCGTTACGCTCTTGGCAGAGCGGTCGTGGTCACGTTGAGGCGTTGTTCACATCGGTTGTAGAGGCGGATACAACTCTCCGCACGATCTCCCTCCATCTCTCTCTATTGGCAGACTGTCTGGTGCAGTCACATAAGCCGTCTCCCACTGCTGCTTTCACTTGGTCGGTCCAGCGCATTGGGGACCTGCCACGCGATCGGGTTCCTTCGACTTTTCCCTGGACGACCAGTCGTTCTATGGAGTTGTCATCCCGCCTCGAACCCTAGACTACCCTGTTAATTAAGGGTATTGCTAATAATTGACGTAGGGCAACTAAACTGAGACGTCTACAAGCGCCCTCGACGACGCGGCCGCTACTGGCCTACATCCCTTTATTAGGGACTAGTTGCCTAGGAGTGTGACACCTAAGACGAATTTGTCGAAAGAAAGTTTTTTTAAGCTTAAAATTATTTATTTGCTGAATGTGGTACATTAGATGTTACATAATAAGATAGAAAACACATTCACCAGATTTGAACTAGGATTAGAGTAGGCGCACACCGTTGATTTTACGTCGGCCGATAGTTTAGTCGGGCAGTTGATCAGTATGGGCATGTATGCGCACACTACGCCGATTCGATTTGGCAGATTCTTCATACAATTTGAAATCGGGCACAACTATCGGCCAACTAAAAATCAACGGTGTGCGCCTACTCTTAAGCTTAAACTTAAATTGGCTATGTAAACACATAACTTATGTTCATGCTTTAAACATTTATGGTAAACTTACATTCTGTTTTGTGCGAAAGATTGCAAATGCAAAGCGATTCATGGATTACCTATTTTTTATTAGGTAGTTCTTGTTTTTGAACTACATACCACGTTTTGCCGACAAATAAAAGACGTTTATTTGGCAATGTTCTCCCCATTTAATCTTATTAAGAATCACTTTAAGGGGTGTATTATGACCACGAACTCGTACCGTCCATTAGCTAATTGTATCACGAGTTCGTGAACTACCTTATTCGATTACATAGGTTTTCAAAAACGCCTGCACATTAGAAAAGATTGTGGGACTCTTATTTGGTTGTAGTTAATGATATTTTACAACTAAAATATCACATATCCTGGCGAGATCCCGTCTGTATAATAAACCACGGTTGTGTATCGCGTTAAATACATTCGAATCCTGTTCCCATTTCGCCCATCAAATGACATTATCAATCTACACAGTTCTTTATTAGTACGTGCTTGAGGCTCGCCTGCGATTACGAAATATGTATTTTTATATCGCACTACCGTTCCAACGCCCTTGCTCATCCATATCAGGTGCAGGTGCTAGTTTGTAGTCGTTGAGATCTTATTGCCAAGACTTAGAGATGGAAATTGTACGATTTGGGTTTAGAAGGTGATGGGATAATGCAAGTGATAGTTCAGCTCTTCTTAAATCAAAATTAGTCTTGAAAATAGAGTAAGGGTGGTCAAAAAATTAGTTTCTTGAAGGTAAAAAACATCTACGTTATGATAGGTAAATGTAGCGGAATCGTTTTGCTTCCAATATGATTCACAAGCTAAACCAGTTATCATTACGTGTTATCAGAACAGCAACAAGTTGCAATGAACTTACTCTCTCTTTTCTTATTCACATGGGCAATGAATAGACACAGGATATGATTACAAAATTGCGATAAAATGAAAAGTGTACTTTCCAGATTGTTTGTCATGAATACTGTCATTGCCAACTTTTAGGATTTTTGTATTCACAATGTAACAGAAGCTCCTGGCCTGATGATTAGAGATGATCAGACCGGAGGTGGAATCGAGCTTCACCCTACCAAAGTATTTTTTTTTAGTAAAACCAATTAGATTTTTTATGCCCTTCCCTTTACTTATTCAATTCAAACTGTGTGTTAATTCTATGTTCGAACCAAAA